CTCCTACCTACCTTCTCATGGGGGAGCGGCAGGGCGGGGGTGGGTGGGGTAGAGAACAGAGAAATGTACCCCCTCCCAGTTCCAGAGGCCAGAGTCGGCTCTGGTGTCATCAGGGCCGATTCCTCCCAGAGGTTCTGAGGGAGGGTCTGGCCCATGCCTCCAGCTTCTGATGGCCACCAGCGATTCCTGGGGGTCCTCAGCTTGCACAGCACCACACTCCAACCTCTGCGGCTGTCTCCACACCGGGTCTGTGTGTGGCTCCTTGGACCGAGGGCCCACCCAGGTGATCTAGAATGAGGTGGGCAGCTTTCACTTAATCACACCTGCAATGACCCTTTTTCCAAATGAGGTCACGTTCATAGGTTCTGGAAATTAGGATGTGGACACGTTTTTTTAGGGGCACGTTATTCACCCCACTCAAGGGTCAGATTTGACCCCAGATCACAGGGGTAGTGCGAACCTGGCCTAAGGCAGAGACAAATGTGGGTGGAGAGCCAAGAGAGGGCCTGCTCCGCCCCCAACTGTGGGCCGAGCGCCGAGCAGCTCTGTTCCTGGCTTAAGGGATTGATAGGCCAGGCACGGCAAGGGGCCCAGTCCCTTTAGAAAAGCCCAGGGAGGGGTTCTTTGGCAGCGGCAGAACCAAGTGTGTTTGCTCTCCCAGCCCCGCAAAGGGGGCCCTCCCGAGCAGGCGGGGTGTGTCTGCACAGAGGGGCCACAGTCAGAGCGCCCCGCGTGGGAAACCCCTTCCGCTTCCCCGGCCTCTGACCAGGGCCGGGCCTGTGCCCGGCATCCAACGTGCGCGCCCGCCCTCCGCGCCTCACGGATGCCTGCCACCTACTGCGGGGGGCGCGCCCTGCAGGCCACCGGGCCTGGTGGCTCCGGCTCCAGCTCCCGGGTGGCACGGGGCTGGGTACGGGGCTGTGAAGTGGGACAGAGCCCGGCCTCGGACCCATCCCCCGCCTTTGGCGGTCAGACCTGCACCTGCGCCCGAGGAGGCGAATAAAGGCAAGGCCTGTCGTGTGCTTTTAAAAATTATTCAAATTTAATTTACTCTTTGCCGTTAAGACACGTTTCTACTTTTCTTTAAAACGACTTAGCCCCGAGCTGACTCAGCGCCGCCTGCCGGAGGCTTTGCCCAGCGCCTTCCAAAGCCCCGAGTAGCCCTCCGCGCCAGCCGCAGCCCCCACCCCCGTGCCCTGCTTCATGCGAGAGACGTTTTTGGCTCCGGCTGCGGGGTCTGGGCCGCGGTGGGAGGCCCTGGACCGTGAAGGGGACAGAGCAGTTACTCTGCGCTGAATAAACGGCCCCGCCCAGAGCACGGCCCTTTACTCTCGACCCACCCCAGCCCCACTCTCAAAATCGGATCCTCCCTTCAATACGGTGAATACCAAGGTGAAAACCGTCCACGGCCCCTGCATAGAGAGAAGCGGAGGTGAGCTCGGCCCCCCGCCACGGCTTCTCCTCCCAGGCCCCGCCCGCCGGCTCCTCTCGGCCCCGCCCACTGACCACATCCCGGTCCGGCCCACAGGGCTCCTTCCCCGGGCCCCGCCCACCGGCCACGCCTCGCCCACGGGCCCCTCCCGGGCCCCGCCCCCCGCCCGCGGCCCCCGCCCACCGGTTTCGCCCCCGAGGTCTGAAGCGGGCCCCGCCCTGGAGGCTGCTGCGGGGGAACGGTCCTCCTCTGGCGCCTGGCTGTCCTCGGAAGCCCCCGCGGTCGGTAGAGCTGATCCCCGGCAAGTTGGTCCTTTTGGGCAGCACCTGAAACCAAAGTCTGAGTCCCTCTGAGACCCCTGTCCTTGGACCCTTCTCCGCCGCGCAGCCTGAATCCAGCCCAGGCCAGAGCCCGGGGCTGACGCTGCCTCCAGGAAACCCCGGATTTCTCTGCTGGAGGCTCACAGGCAGGTGTGCACAGGCCCCAGCGCCTGCCAGCCCTTGCGGGGGTAATTACAGACCCACAGCTAACCTGGTTCCCTGCCAACCTTCTCAAAATCACCACTTAGGCCTGAACTGTCCAGCCACAGACATGGTCAGGTGATGTGCCCCTGTCAGCCCAGCATCTCGCAAAGGTCCAGCTGGGGAAGGGGGCCTCCCAATGCCACATCCAGTCCGGAGGCAACCGCCGCCCCTGCGGCCCGGCCGATGTGCCCAGAGACACTTGGGGGTTGGAGAAGGGTCGTCTTGGCTTCCCTGTGCTTGCGTTTTCCTGGTTCCTCGGGGATTAACGGGTTAAAGTGAAGACGCTCACAGCAGAGTTTTAGGGGACGCACCTTGATGACTCGGCCTCGGAAGATGCTCTTGTCCAACGCCACCGCGGCCTGGGCTGAGCTCTCGGCAGCAAACTCTATGTAGGCGTAGCTGGGGTGGGTGGGCATGGCGGGTGAGGGCCACCCCGAGGTACCCAGGCTCCCCAGGACCCCAGGGCGCCCGGCCCCTCCGGGGGTCTCCTCCCTGAGCCCCCTCCCCCACCCCCATGGCCTGCCTGGCACTGACCCCTTGGGGTGTCCAGAGAACTTGTCGCATAGGATGGTGACCCGGTGAACCTCCCCGCAGGAGTTGAAGTAGGCTTCTAGCTCCTCAGCTGTGCCCCCATAGTCCACCTGCCACAGGTACGGGCCTCTGGTGTGGGGAGGCCTCACCCTCCTGGGGTCTCCCACAGCAGGTTTTCTTGGTAGCAGAGGTCTCTGTCCCCCACCCCTGTTGGGGATGGACCGGAGACAAAGACGTACGCCCCCCGTGTGTTGGGCGAACCCCCAGGTTTATTTGGCCTGTCCAGAGAGCACGTGGCTTTTAAAAGTGGAATCTGTTGCCAATGATTGGCCGAGTGGAGATTTCAGGTGGAAACCCTGACTCCCGGGTCATGCTGGGAAAGCAGGATGTGAGGACACGGGGCCCAGGTTCCCTCTGGGGGGCAGCCCTCTGGCTTCTCTCCTCCTGGACCTGTGTCCCTTCCTTTAACCCCACGGCCAGGAGGAGGGGGCGAACCCCAAGAGGCCCCATCTTGCCCCCTCCCTGACTCACATTCCCCACATAGACGGATCTGTGGTCGGACTCCAGCTGCTCCACGGGGGGCCCAGGGCAGGTGCAACCTACAGAGAGGGGGGCCTCAGGACAGCGGGTCTCCCTGCCGGCAAGAGGGGGGCGCTCCCGGCAGGCGCCTCACATTTGTGGCTCATTCCTCACTGCTTGTGGGAAGAGGGTCACCCCTTGGGACTGTCCCGGCAGGGCCGTGCCGCCCGGCCCGACGCGGAGACCCTCAGACCCTCGCCGTGAGCTGGCACTAGGGGCTCAGAGCCGCGTGCCTGACGACTGGTGGCCCACCGCCAGGGGAGGGGCTGGCCCGGCCCCCTGGCTCCTACCTGCCTCGGGGCTCAGCAGCTGCCTGGCCGGTGTGGCCCCGGCGCCCTCCTCCCGTCCCGCCTGGCCCTGCGCCCCAGGCGGCTCCGCTCCTTGGGCCTGTTCCATGGCCCACAGCTTCACTTTGATGGCCTCCAGCTCCTGCCAGCAGGACCCCACACTGAGCCCAGAGGCAGGGTGGCCCCTGGGCTCCTCTTGGGGGGAGGAGGGAGCAGGCCTGACCGTTACCGTCCTCAGGGTCCCTGGCTACTCAGGGACAGGCTGGGGGGGGGGGAGGGGTCCCGGAACGGGACTGGGAAGGCCATGTGGACTCGGGCCCTGCCATCCTACCCAGGCTTGCAGGGGTGGGCAGCCCCCCTACCCTCTTCTAGGCAGGGGGACAGTGGCCCGGGAAAGGTCCGAGCTGCAGCCGTGGGTCCCCTTGAATCCAGGTCCTGGCCAGCCTCCACTTGGCTCCACGTGGGTGTTACCTGGTCAGGTTCCGGGTCCTCGGCCAGCTCCTCCCCCTCCAAGAGAGACAGGGGGAAGCCTGCATCTTCGGGGTCATTCTCCGCTTCCCCTGGCTCCCCCTCCTTCCTGTCCCCACTCCCTGGCTCCAGAGGGGGCTTCTCGGCCCTGCCCCAGGCCCCCCAGCCCTGGGCCTCAGGGTCCGAGGAAGCCCTTTGCAGCCAGGCCTGGGTCGGGGGTGGGAAGAGAGCGTGGCTGAGGAAGGGCCACATGGGCGGGTCGAGGGGCAGGCAGACGAGGCCTCCCTGGCCGCTCACCTCCACGCTAGCACCTGCCCTCACCCGCCCAGGGTTTTAAGCCCCTCGCCAGGCCAGCTGCTTCCACTAGAGTGCTTAAAAGGCTTCCCACAGGGCTGAACTTCCAGCCCCCGCTTCTGGGCCAGCCCCTTCTCCCTCACCCGGGCCGATGCCCCCCGTTGGGGAGAGAAGAGGGCTCCGCCTGCAAGGGCTTGCCACACTCACTGCACCTGCTCAGGCTAGCAGCCCACAGGAAGGATGGCACGTAGGAGAAGGGGGTGCTTCCTGGAGGAGACGGTGTTTGGGCCAGCCTAGAGGGACTGGGGGCAGAGCTAGGGCAGAGGATTGCATGGGCATGGGGCCCGGCGTGAGCAAAGACTTGGAGCAGGGAGGGCAGGGTGTGTGCCACAGGGCAGGGCCCGGCCCCTCCTCTTGACCCTCCATCGATTCCCCGCAGACGCTCCCCTCTCGCACGCCTCTCTGGGCCAGCTTGTGGGCGGGAGCCGCTCACAGGAGGCCAGAGTCCCGTCCTGGCCACAGGGCCTAAGGGCTGAACCCTGGGCAGATCTGGGGTGGACACTGGAGGCCCGAAGGCTGCTCGTCTTCCTTCTGTGAGGCTTCTGCTTCTCAGTTCTCGCCCCTGGAGGGCGGCCGTGGGCCTTTGTCCCCAAGTGCCCCGCTCTCCATCTGTCCTCGCTGAGCGGCCCCTCTGGCCTCAGCCTGGCTCAGCCGCGTGGAGCTCCTGGTTCGTGTTTTCCAGCTTCGTGTCGTGTTTGTGGGGGCCTCCTCTGGCCACGTTTGCCCCGCCCAGAGCCCCCCTCCAGGCCTTAGCTGGGAGGTCCACGCGGGGCAAACTGGGGTCTCTTCCCGGGGAGCTGCAGCTTACACGGAGCGGGTCTGTGCGGCCCCGGAGCTGGGACAGCCTCTCTGCCCAGCTGGGCGGGGGTGTGGGATGGGAGCACCGGTGGCTGCGGCTGTAGCCCTTGGAAGCAGCAGGCCCCCGCCTCCCGGGCCCGAGCCCCCTTCCCTCGCTCGCCTGGCTCTGCTCTCTCACTTCCGGGGCAGGGTCTGTAGGCCCGGGGCACGTGAGACCTGCTGTGGTCCTGCATGCACGGGGGCACCTTGCCCGCCACACCCCCTCTGTTTCCGGCTGCACACAGCCACACGCACTTACAGGGGCGAGACTCCAGGGGGCCCCATCGCTACTGCACGGCTGTTTCCAGGAAGCCTTCCTGATTCCTCCTCCTTTCTCTCTCTCGGCCATGGCACCAGGCCTCCCCCTCGGTCTGTACGTCACACACCCCCGGGTCTCCCCCGGCAGGCCACAGTGCCTGAAGGGCAGTATCCACGTCTGTGCTGAGGACGGGACCTCCGCCCAAAGCTGGCTGGGTGAGGACGGAAGGGTGGGCACTGCCCGCCTCTCTTCCGTAACTCGAGGCAGTCGGGTCCCCTCCCTCCTTGCAGGTCCGGGGCCCCGGGGAGGGCCTCTGGCCTGGGCCCTTCCCTCCACCTCCACGTGGGAGGCAGAACACCACAGTGGCCGTGTGCAAGCCAAGAGCCGGCTGGGCTCAGGCCGGGCCCCCGGCCAGCCTCCCTCTGAGCTCAGGTCTCTGCAATGGAAAAACGCTGTCACCCTGCTCTCGGCTGAAGTTGCTGACACACCAGGCCCAGCTGGGGTTCCCGCCAGCCGCCTGGCGTGGAGACAGGCTTGCCCCCAGGCTGGCCTTTCCAATGACGCCTTTCAGAATACATCATGTTCCAAGCCTGGGCCCAAGTATTAATAACACCCCTTCCTTCCAGAAGCTGCCAGCAAACCGGGAGTGCCGAGTCCTGGGCATCCGACTCTGGTGAGGACCTGACCTGGGAGCCAGGACACCATGGCTGTGACACCCTGGCTCCTCGGGGTCAAGGTGTCCCTCTCCTCGGTGTCCACCCTGAGGGTCTTGTGGGGGGGGGGCCCAAGGTCACCCAGATCACCTAAGCAGGACACAGCAGCTGAGAAGTTCACCCCACGTGCAAACACATGGGAGGCTGTGGGTGAACCCAATAAGGAGGGGCCCCGGTCCCGTTCAGCCCCAACTCAGGTGCCTTTGCCCACCCACCCCAGGAGGGCCAGGGCCTTACCACTTCCTTTTGGCTCCCAGAGGCACCCAAAACATCTCGGGTAGACCAACACACCTGAACCCGAGGAGGCTGTCCCGTGATAGCCAGCGTGCCTTTGAACCTGGATAGCAGACGTGACCTGAATCATGACGTCTTACAGCACCCAGGTCAGTGGCTTACACGTCAGGGACCTGTGAGGGCAACATGCCACAGTCCCCTTGTTGCTGGGGAAAACCCTTCTGGGAAGCAGACGACCTTTCAGTCCCAGCTCGTTTTGGGGGGTGGAAAAAAGAGAATCCATCCCAGTCCCCTATGAGGCTGTGGAGCGGCTGCACCTGGCCCCATGAAACCAGCCCGGCTGGGCTCCTCTGTCCAGTGGACGGCCCCTGCCTCCGTGCAGGCGTGCAGACAACGGCTCCACTTTGAGTCCAGATGTTGGTGCTGCCACAGGGTCCCTTGGGGTGGCCTCCCGAGGGCGGCTGAGGAAGAAGGAATAAGCATACAAAGATGGAGTCTTTGGGAGCCGTGGGAGGCTGGGGCAGAGTGCCGGTGCAGGCGCCGGGCCTCCTGTTGAAGCGGGAGGAGTAGATGGCGGTCTGGGCTCCTTCTCCTGCAGGTTGCTGGACCACCTGCGGTCCCCAGCCTGTTGGAAGCGCCCCTTATTGGCCGGCCTCTGGTGTCGGAGAATCCCCCCCAGCCCCCCATACATCGGCCCAAGTTCAACTTGGGCAGGGTCTGTTCCTCCATCTCTCAGTCTAAATGGCCAGTCCAGAGTCTGCCACCCGGGATGGGAAAGGCGGGGAGTGGGGCGATGGGCAGAACCAGCCTCGAGCACCTGGGGAGGAAGAACTGCGGGGCGCTGGGCTCTCTTCCCCCACCCTCTCCTCTCTCCTTTCCTGAGGCCATACCTCCCTCTCTAGGCGACCCCGGGAGCAAGGACAGGAGAGGCAGCCCCACCCCACAATGTTGGGGTCCTGCCAGGGAATATGTTCCACTGGCCGGTGGCCCTGGTCACAGGGGCCCCTGAGCAGAGTGTGTGGGCCACCTCCCAGCTGAGCACTCCTGGCCTGACCACCACTTGACTGGGCCCCAGCCCGGCAAAAGCTTCACTAGGGCGTTAGATATCCTCTAATTCGCAGTACTGCCTTATCTGTCGCTGCGGCAGGCAGGACCAATAGTTTGAGGTGCTGGGGAGCTGGCGTGCTTACGGGCAGATTCCTTTACAGGGCAGTTAAGGTCGCAGGAAATCCAAAAATACCCTCTAGCTTTGGAACACCGGGGACTTAGTGATACTACTCGTGGTGGAGGTGAACAGGGCAGACGGACTAGAGAGCCGCAGCTCATTAAGGTTAGATCGGGAACGGTTAGACAGCGTGTGTAAAATTGGTAATAGGGGGACGGTGGAAGCAGGTGGTGTCGGGTGGAGGAGAAGTATGAATGGGGGGGAGGTGGGAATCGGGTGACAGCTGGGACACAGCAAATGGATGAACCGTGGATGGGAGTGGCCTTTGTGGTAGTAGTGGGTGACTGGGAGATGGGCAAGGAATTGGATGGATAGCTTAAATGGAATTGACGCAGAGTAGATGGGTATGGCACAAGGTGGGTGGGCAGAAGGAGAGTGAGCGTGGATGGAAGGAGGGAGAAGGGAGGATGAAACCTGGAGCAGACCGGAGAAGGTGGGTGGCTGGGCAGGCAGAGGGAGAGGTGATGGATGGATGGATGACTGAAAGCGGGAGGCCAGAGCGGCGGATTAGTCAGAAGAAGCGAGGCTGAAACATCAGAAACAATTATGGGAGAGTTGGCTCTGCAGGGGGCCCAGGAAGAATGATGGCCGAACATGCCGGCTAGAGCGAGCTGGAAGCGTGAAGAACTTTGGTGTCATTTGAGGATCACGTTTGGGAGAAAGCTGGCAAACAGGAGTAAGGCAGGGCTCGAGATCCCTTCCCACCACTATCACTGGGATGAAACCAAGCCCCTAACCTCCCGGCCCCCCCTCCTGTTCGTCTCTGGCGTTCAAGACCTCTAGGGGCTTTGATGAGGGAGGCCTGGGCCAGAAGCCTGCCTGGAAGTCTAGCTCCCTCTTGTCCCGGCCTGAGCTGAGCTGTGAGGATGGGGCCTCTATTCAGATGGAGCCTGGGAGGGTGCCCTGGCCAGCTTACGTGGGATGGTGCCCCCCCCAGACATCACCTGGGGACAGTGACATGGGATGGGGAAACAAGGAGGCGGAGGGAGGGTGGGGAAGGTGGGGGGTCACTGGGGGGGGTGGCAGAGAGGAGTCTAGGTGCCAGCATCCCACTCCTGGCTGTCCCCTCCCCCCCCCCCCATCCGTCTGATGCGTGTGGCCTTTATGGCTGAGTCCTGGCTGCCACCTGCCTGCCTGCCGCCTCAGTCCGCTTCCTTCTGGGAGCTTTGGTGCCAGAACAGCAGGAACGTTTGATTTGGGTGGAAGGAGGCTGTATGAAACCCTGAGCTTCTAGGTCGCCCAGCGTGTTGTAACCTGGTGGCTGTGGAAGAGCCCCTCGCCGCTTCGCTCTTGAGCCCCATGTTCCTGGCTTCAGAAGCTGAGGGCAGGACAGCGCTGGGCAGGAGAGCTGCACCTGCTTGTGCCAGGGGTCCCCTCGGCTAAGAGAGGCAGGGGCTTCCAACCGTGCCTAGTCTGATCCGACCAATGCAGAAACTCATGCCCTCCTCCTCCCGAAGCCCAGCCATCGTGTTGGTTCATGGCGAGGTCTTTTGGCTGTGCTTCACACAGAGCACAGTGACCCACTGGGAACACCCTTCCCAGAGCAGAGAGGGTGGGAGGGCTGTCCCGTCTCAGTTCCCTCAGCCTGTGGTGGCTGGGACACCACCGGCTGCTCTGGCCTCACTCCAGTACACCACCAGTCCCAAAGAGGCTGACCTGGAAGTGAGAGAGAGACAGGCTGGCTCAGCCTCATACCTCACACGGTGAGGTCAAGGTACATCTCCGGGCCTTAAGAATCTTACCCAGACCCCCACGTGCCAGGCAGAATAAACTGACACAGCCACTCACCAGCACCACCTCGGTCCTCCAGAGGCTGTGGCTCCACCATTTTAATGGAGTCAAACTTTGACAGACAGAGGCCGACACTGTGGCAGGCTTCCAGCTCTCGCTCAGGCCCAATCCCAAACTGAGTCCTTGCTTTTCTGGAACCCGCAGGCTTCTCAGAGTTCGCAGACCCGTGGCGGGAGCCCTCAGGGAAATTTCAGGAGGATGAGATGGGTCTATGTGACTTTCAGGGTGGGTTCTACTGTGAGGCGGGCTTTCAGAGGCTGGCGCTTGATCCCGAGGCAACATGAACCTCTCTCTTTGCCACCACGATGGATTCTTACAACTCCGAAAAACAACAAACAAACTGCTCCCAGGAACAGGTTCAGGTTTCTTTGAGAATCTACTTCTAAACCTCATGCTTCCTTGGTTTTCTCTTTTTTATTTGGCAAACATCCTTTTTAGTGCCGTCGCCATAGACATCATCATTTACGGACCTCTCTGCGAGGGATTCTGTACATTCACATTAGCATTATACCACTGACTTGCCTCTAGGCTTAAGGCTTCACTTCAGCGGCTGCTCCGCTATTGCCCTCGGTCGGGGAATTCCTCTTGGCGGCAGGATCGTCGGCGTCTGCTCTTCCCTCTCCAGGAGAGTCAGGCTCTCCTCCCCACTCATGGTGCCTCCTTGAGGATCTTCAGGCTGAGTGGGGGGAAGAGGACAGGGCTGAGGGTCAGGGGCCACCTCCCTAAGAGCAGCTGAGGACAGGGGCTGGGGTTGCTCTGCTCAGCCAAGGGAATCCGGCCTTGGTGAGCAGACCCTTCTCAAACTTTTCTCCTATTTTAAACAGTGTGAAAAAGAGAGCAGTGCAGCTCTTGGGGCGGGGGGCAGAGGCTGAGGGGGGAGGTGGGCAGGTGGAGACTGGCCTCGTGTGAGCAGGAGGAGAAAAGTAAAGAAGGCAGGCCAGAGTCGAAAGGCCAGTGCTGGCTAAATTCACTTATCAAGAATCCCTTCAGTGTCTAGTTTCGTTTGAGCTCTTCTCTGGAGACCACTGTAACTCTCCTAGCAGAGCTTGTCTGCGCAAAGATTTACAGAAGCGTGAGGACAGAAGGGACGTGAGGCGTCCCCATAGCGTGTCTGCAGCGGGGCCGTGGCCGGCCGAGGCCCTCACCGTCGTGGAGAAAAAGAGACCACGTTGTGCTTCTTGGGCCTCAGACCCAGGGCCACTTTAAGCCACGGAATCAAACGGCGAGGGCGGGGCGATGGATAGACAAATCCAGGAGTGAGGGTGAAACCGTGGGAAAGGTGCTTTGGCAGTGGCGAGGCAGTTTTTGGATTTTGGCATTTTGTTTTGCTGGGTTTCTTTGAACAGAGAGTGCCGATCATGGCTGGCTAGCTGGCAAGGTAATGGCAGGTAGCAGCTTCCCTCCCTCAAAACCTTTTACTTAAAAACCAGAGTTTGACATTAAAAAAAAAATAACTGACAAACCATGTTTCTGTTGAGTGAAGATGAAATTCTTCTGCCGTCTCGCGCTGGCCTGCGCTTCCGGTGACCTCGTCTCCAGGATATCCAGCTACAACCGTATTTCTCTCTGTTTAACGGAAATAGCTTATTTCCTGGGTCCAGTTTCTATGATAGTTCACAAAGCCCCAATTCTTCTGCTATAAATACAAGCGACTAGATTTTGTTAAAGACAGCGATGTGAAAGTCGAGCCGGGAAGAGCGAGGCCTGAGGCTGACAGGCAGGCTGCCTGGCGCCAGCCCTGCCCGTCCTAAAGCTTGGCGGAGGTCTCTGAGGGGACATGGCAGTGTGTGAGGGCAAGTTGCTGAGTTCGTTGATCATTTTGTCGGTTCTGTTTTCTTTGGAGACGCAGTAGCAGCAGCAGCTCGGCAGCTCAGACTGGGTGAGGCAGCGCGGCCGGACCAGGGGTGGAGAGTCAGGGGAGTCCCGAGGCTGGAGTGGGGCGGGCTTCGTGTATACTGAGAGGTGAGGCAGGCAGGTCTGGGGGTCCAGGCCTTGGCGATCCAAGGGAGTCAGGCGGACTTCAGAGCCAGGCGGGAGGGCCCCAGCAGGCCTGACACCATGGGGCTAGCTGGCTCCCAAGTGGGCAGAGCTTGGGCCCCCAGGCTTGGCCAGTGGACTGTATCCAAGGCTGGGTCGGCTGCTGTGACTGCAAGAGACCCCCTGCAGGCTCTGGCCCCGCCTGCGTGGTGGTGCTTCTCCCAGTCCTTGGCCTGCTGGCAGGAAGGAGCCGCCCAGTGTAGCGCCGTTACAGCCTTCTGGGTCTCACTGGCCTTCGCCCCGCAGTTCCAGCAGCTCTGGAGGAGGGACTCAGGTCAGAGGGCCTCTTGAAGTCTCCTAGAGCAGCTGGGCTGGCGACCGCAGGACGGGGTATGCGCACTGCAACGACCCCCACTGCCGGTGACCACGTCATGGGGACCCGGCCAGGGTCACCGAGATGCTGAGGTCACTTGAGGGGCGTGGCCACGGCATCATGGAGACCTGGCCACGGGGTCTGAGGGGCTGACCCACTTGAGATCCTGGAGACCTGTGCGGGGTCACAGGGAGTGGCATGGCATCATGGGAGCCTGGCCTGCGGGGTCTTGCGGGGGCCTTGACTGCATCATGGGGAACCTGGCCTGCGGGGGCGTGGCATCATGGGGGCCTGGCCAGGGTCACGAGGCCTTGACCAGTCACTGAGCCTGGCCTGCAGGGGTCGAGGATGGGCATGGGTCATGAGGGGCGTGTGCAGCATCCCTCGGAGAACCTGGCCGGGCCACAGGGGCGTGGGCACATCACTCAGAGACCTGGCAGAAGTCAGTGCAGCCTGGAGTCATGAGAGGGCCCCTGGCCACAGGAGGATGTGACCCGTAGCTAAGTCTGGGGCGTGGCCACGGCATCCTCAGAACCTAGCTGCAGAGTTCGGGAGGGCCAGCAGCCACTGACATCGGCCCGAGGGACTCGACCTTTTGAATCGCAGTGGTTCATGGAGTCATGGGGGCACTGTGCGGCATCATGGAGACCTGGCCACGGGGTCACGGGGACGCGGCCATGGCATCATGGGGACCCGGCCACGCATCATGGGGTGACAAGAGAAAAGCCCGACCTCACCACAGCTTGTGGGCGGCCCCCAGTGGACATGGCCACTTGGCTGGGCCCTCCTGGGGGGTGGGCTCCCACCACGGAGGCACACAGCTCCGCCCACTCCAGACAGGGTTATGCTGAGTGTGCGGGACCATGGGGTCCTCGCGAGGGAAGGCAGCCACAGCACCCCCCGCTCCTCTCTTCCAGGAAGCCCTCCTGGGCTCACCTGGGCTCTGACCACAGAACGCGGCAGCTCTGGCCAAAGACTGCCAGGCTCCAACGTGGGGTGCACGGCCAGGCCTGCCTCGCGCACACCCGCCTGGGCCACTGGGCCTCTGCTCCCTTTCTGTGGACGAGCGGTAACCTCAACCACCCGCCCAGGACAAAGGCCCAGTGTCTAGCTAGCCGCCGAAGCCTCTTGGCGCTCTCCGCTCGGCCACGTCGGCCTCCTTGTGGTCCTCACTCTGCCAGGCATGCCCCCGGCCTCTGTCTTTGCTGCTCCCTCCTCGGGGTGGCAATTTTCCCCCAGATCCCTGCCTGCCTGGCTCACCTCCTCCAGGACTCTGTTCCCACGTCACTGCTACGGCGTGGCGTCTTCCCTGGCACCTGCCCCCGGGAGGTCTGCCCGTTCTGACCTGCCTGCTTCTCTGGAGCTCAGGCTGTCTGCTGGAGCAGCCGGAGCAGACACGGGGGCCGACTCTCCAGGCTGGCCCAAGCACACACGTACCATGGTGTTTTCGAGACGTGTCCTGTCCCAAAGGACAGTTCTAGAACTCCCTCCTGGCCACGCTTTCCCCCCTTCCCTAACTTCCCTGACATCGAGTCCTTTTCGGACCAGGAGGAAAGGGCCTCCCTGCACCTGCCTGACCCCGGCCAGCCTCCGGATGCCGGGGCACCAGCATGACGAGGCCTCTCACGTGCCCGCTGCGCGGGCTGTAGCTGAGGACGTCCTGTAAATGCCACGTGGGGTCTCCACGCCCCTCGCGGCTGCCGCTTTCACAGGTTACTGCGAGCGCGGGCTTCAGCGTCTCCTGGCCGAGGTTTGAGTCACAGGTTGAACGGCCTGTGACTTCCTAGGGCGCAGCCTAGAGCCAGCCACCTACCCTCTGGAGCCCTCAGCGTCCACATCTGCCCAGGGAACCCGCCTCACCGGCCGCCCAAGGTCATGAGGCTGGGAGGCGACAGAGTGGGGCTTCAGGGTCTGGAACCTGGAGGCTGGGTGGCCCTACCTCGCTGGAGTCCTCCTGCTGGTTGATGACAGTCAGGGCATCTTCTGAGGCCTGCCGCCGGGCCTCTGCCAGGGCCCTCTCCATCTTGGCGCGCTCTGTGCTGATGAGCTCGTGGGCCTTTCGCTCCGCGTCCGACACCGCCTTTTGCAGCTCCGACATCGCCTGCCGCTTCACCTCATTCACAGCCTCTTCTGCAAAGGAGGTGCAGGCCGTGGTCACGTGGCCCGGCCCAACTGCTCCCCGAGGCCTCGTGCTGTGGCCGGGGCCTGTGCCCCAGCGACGGGGCAGGCGAGCGCAGGCGTGGTCGTGGGGGCGTCTCCCAGGCCTGAATCTATCCCGTCGTTCCAAACCTCAGGGTGCGGTGGTACCGCCCTGGAGGGCAGGGGCCGAGCCCACCCGTGACCTGGATCCAACGGGCTTGGGGAAGGCCCGAGAACCTGTGTTCCTAACGGGGTTCCAAGCCATGCTGATGCCGGGTCTCGGCACCCACTTTGAGAACCACAGCTGTACCTCTGCCCCACCAACAGTCAGCTTCCCCTGTGGCCCATCTAGAAGCAGTCTGGGGGGGTACCCCGTCTAGGCCTCTGCATCGTTGTCACTCCCAAAGCCCTCTGTCACCACCCCCACTCGCCGCCTGCGGCCTGCTCACGTCCGCAGAGAAGCCTGCTGTTCAGAGCTGAGCCAGAGCACCTGTTTGGATTACACTGTGCTCCCCAACCCTGGGAACCACTCACAGCTGCTCACGCCTGCCTCAGTTTACCTGGCAGTGCCTCTCACGCCTGCCTGCCTCTCACGCCTGCCTCAGTTTACCGGCAGTGCCCTTCTTGCAGCAGTGTGGGGAGGGTGGGGTGGGATTAGCGGGGCTCCCCTGTGCACACTCGTTGTGGTGAGCTGCCAGCCCCCGGGTCACCAGACGGAGGCAGAGGGGACGGGCCGAGGGAAGTGAGGACCCCACCCTCCGGTTCAGGCCTGTGCCCTGCCCTGCCTTGCTCCGGGCAGCTGCTGCCTGTCTGTGGCCCTTCAGCCTCCAGTTCTGGGTGGGGACGCTCCACTTGCCTTGTGTTCCAGACCCTGAGACTTTCTCCCTCGTCCTGATAGTTCACGGTGAATCCATCCACTAATCAAAACGTATGGGGGGGGGGCGCGCGCTCCTCTCCACTGCCACCACCTCCGCTGAGCTCCCCCCTTCTTTCTCAAGCTGGCCACTGGCTCCCAAAGTCTGTCCCCATGAGGCGATGTGCTCAGCGCCATGGCCACAGGCACTCCCTCGGCACCTCTCACGTGTGTGTGTGTGTGCACATGTGTGCGAGCAGAACCGAGGGACCCGTGCTATTCTGCCACGCGGCTTGCTCACTCGCCTGCAGATGGAGGGTGGACAGGTGTCCTACCCGGAATACTAAATGCACTCCACCCCCTCCCGCAGGGTCGGACCCCACTCCCCAGGCCGACCCCACTCACCAGCCTTCCTCCAGATCTCCTCGGGCATGTAGCCAGAGAGGGTCCTGGGCATGAACTCCCGGTGGGCGTCTGAAACACAGGGGGTGCCAGCATCACGCACAGAACGGGGCCACGCCCAGCTGGGTAAGGGGGTCCTGGTGTGTGTCCTTGGGGGGGGTCCCCAAGGTGCCCGTGGCCGGAAACCCTGTATCAGTTGCTGGTGTGGGGCAGGGCTATGCCGGGATGGAGGTGCCCTGAGCTGAAGCAGCTTGGGTCCAGGTGGACCTGGGCCCTCTTGGATCTGTCTTGGTTTCCGTGGTCATCATCCACAGAGCGACTGGAGACCCCTGGGGGCCCCTGGCTGCTGGCACCCTGAGTCTAGGCTTCCCGCGAGTCAGGCAGCATCTTTATGCAGAGCACAAAAGCACGTCCTTTTGCAGGGAAACTCCTGGGCTGTACTTTACTGCAGCGACTGCCAGAATGGGGGTGCTGGCCTCGGTCTTCGGCGCCCCTGCAGCGCACCCCCCGGTCTCCCTGACACCCGCTCAGCACGCACCTAGCTGAGACCCCTCTGCACCCACGGAACTGTTGAGGGGCCGGGCAGCGGCAGGCACGGGGCCCTTCTTGGCGTCCTCGGTGTCACTGTAGCGCCGGATCCAGTGGTTGATCTCCTCGCGGTCGGCCTCTTGGCACTGACGCAGCACGGTGAGCGACCGTCGAGTCTTCTCAGCCATGTCCATGATGCAGTTCAGCAGCTGCGGGCGGGCGGTGGCCGTGAGCACGCAGGCTGGGTGTGGCCGCTCAGGGTGGGCGACGGCCAGGGACCTTTCGCACCCCGGGCCTGGGCCAGCCCACTGTCCGCGAGGGCTGGCCACAGCGAGCTCCCGGCAACAGTGCGAAAATCTGCCTCCACTGCCTGGAAAGGCACCAAGCACGGGGGGGTGGGAGGGAAGACCAGGCTCTCGGGGAGTTCTGTTCCAACACAGGGGCTGGGGGCTCTCCTTTCAACTGTCAGGGCTGTGCTCTGCCCTGGGGACCACACCTGCCTGGGCTCCCTCCCCACGAAGGCAGCAGGGGAGAGATGACCCCGAAAGCGATGTTGAAGGGGTCCCAACGCCAGGCCAAAGCCCCTCTCTCCCAGAGACAGAGCTGCTCTGCTGGGGCAGAGAAGGGATGGTTCTGAGGGGCTGCCCAGAGCGGAGGGCGGGCTGAGGCAGGCAGGCGCAGGCCGAAGCCAAGCCGGCACTGAGCCTGCCACCCCCCACCCCCCGCAGCACCGGAGTCCCGCGGGCTGGGCGGAACCCCGGGAGTAGGGGTGGTACCGTGGCCTCGGGCCTGGACACTCACGTTGTTCAGGTGCTTCCACTCCTCTGCCCACTCCCGCTCCGTGAGGCGGTGGTCGATCACTTCCTCCTGCCGGGACCCGTGTACCGCTGTAGGGTGGTGTGGACACTCAGGCCCTGCTCCTTGTCCCAGGCCCCAGGCCTTCTCTCCATCCCTCAGGCTCCGCCCTGTGCCCCAGGCTCCGCCCTGTGCCCCAGGCCCCTCCCATGCCCCCTGGCTCCGTCCACGTCCACGTCCACGTCCCCCAGGCTCTTCCCTGTGCCCCAAGCCCTGCCCAAGTCCTCCAGGCTCCGCCCTGTGCCCCAGGCCCCGCCCAAGTCCTCCAGGCTCCGCCCATGCCCCACACCCCAGGCCTTCTCTCCATCCCTCAGGCTCCACCCTGTGCCCCGGGCCCCGCCCATGTCCTCCAGGCTCCACCCCGTGCCCTAGCTTGCTTGTACCCTCCCCCACGGCTCCGCCCCATGCCCCTCCCCTGTCCTCCAGGCCCCACCCTGTGCCCACCAGGTACAGCTCCTTGCTCCCCGGGCCGCGCCACTCATCCCAGGCACTGCCCTGGGCCTGCTAGGTCATGCGTCGTGCTCCCCAGGCCCAGTGCATGGGCTTTGCCCACCTCAGGAAAGTGGAGAGGGGGAGGAAGGGGGCCCTGGGCACTGACCCTCTGTCCACTGCCTTTAGGGGGAGGTCAAGAACAGGTCTGGCCTCTAGTCAATGCTTGGGAGGAAGAGACGGGTTCCCATCTCTCAGTCTAGGCCTGGCCACCCCTCCCCCACCTCCCTGCATCCAAATCCAGCATCCTTTGGTTTTCCTGCCCCTGCTGCCCATGGTAGCTGCCCCAGGCTTCACTTCGACGGCCTTGCCACTTCTCAGAAGCCCCCAGGGGCTCACTAGTGGCTCACAGCTCATGCTGTACCCGTTCCTCTCAGCCAGCTGGACTTCTATACATCCCTCGAAGCCCAGGTCCCAGGCCCTCTCCTCAGCAACCCTGAGCCCTTCAGAATTCATTCAGCCCCACGCATATCCGCTTGTCAAACAATCCTGGCGGCTTCCTTGTTTATTCTTAGTCCCCCCAGCTGGCTGTGTCAGTCCCCAGGGCAGGGCTGCTGTGTCTCCTGGGCCGAGCTCCAGCTGGGCAAGAGGCTTGCTCTGGTTCAGCGGCTGGGTCCAAGTGTGGTCCCCTGGGAGGCAGTGGGGTCTGGGAAACCAGAAGCCCCAACACTCGTTCCCCAGGGGACCCCAGGCCCCTCCCCTCACCACTCTGTGCCTCAGTTTCCCTGCCCTGCCTGCCTCCTGGGGCCGTGAGAAGGCTTTCAGGAAATGCCCAGGAAGGGAGGGCCCCAGGTACCCAGCAGGGCTCTGTGCCAAGTGCTTCACCCCTTGTCGGCCTCCAGGGGGAGTTCTGTGGTCATTCCCATCCTACAGATGAGAACACCGAGGCTGCTCAGGGGATGTGTTTGCTCAAGGTCACCCAAGGTCAGCCCAAGCCATAACAGTGCCCTCAGCTGCTGGCTAGTACAGCTCCAGAGACTGAAACAATGGGGTGCCCTCCCCGCGAAGCCCGGTGATGACAAAGAAAACAACTCGGAACTGAGAAGTTCACGCCAAGGCAACAGTGTCTGATCGTCCTCACGTGATTTTTTTGACACATCAAATGCTCTCAGCCCCACGCTGGTGGTGCCTCAAGCCTATGCTGGGTGGCCCGGGGCTGACCAGGGCTTCCTGGGCTGAGGTCTCTCTATTTAAGCCTTTTCCAGGCCCTGGCGGTCTCCTAGCCCCCCAGACATGCCGGGCCACCTCGCGCTGCAGGAGGAGTGAGAGGCAGCGGCCACGGCCACCGTCCGCCACCCTGCCCCGCCACCCGCGGACCCCGGGGCCTGCGCCAACGCCCCAACCAAAATAGTGGCTGAGATCTGCCTGACAGCTGGCGTTTATTTTTGCATTAGCAGAAGCGGGTGGGAATTAGCACCTGCCCGACCCGGCCGCGGGGAGCCAGACGCTGTCACCTGCTGCCTGGGCCCAGGCCCTGGACGCTTCCGCGGGGTGGGGGCGGGGAGACGGCCTTGTACAGGGCAAGGCCTCTGCTGACCCTGCCTCTGGGCCCCCACGGGTGCCCTGGGGCTCTCAGGAGCGGCTGTTTCCAGCCTCCTACCCGC